AAATATATTAAAATAAAATAAAATAAAACAAAATAGAAAAAATAAATAAATTAAAAAATGAAATAAAATTAAATTAAATTAAATCTTTTAGTACATGTAATTCATGTGTTTTTCCGTGGTATCGCACTGGGTATTGGGAACTGTGGCATTACACTGGTATTGGTATCAGCTACTAAATTTCTAGTATTGTGACATGTCTAGCTGCATCTAACAATTATTGGAAAGATTAGCACAAAACCAAAAGATATCCAATTTTCACACACCAGTGCACAGATTTATAACAAAGAAAAACTGCCAATGTTCATATTTGAGAAGCCGGAAAATTATTTAACCACTGAATCAATCATCAGGATAACTGCAGATTAATTTTATGTTGATCCGCTTGTGATTAGTCGCCTTAAAACCGTCACTGCACACGATAAATCATGATGTACATGAAGCGTTCAAAAATACTACTGTGGTCAGACAGAAACAGGACTTTCTCAAATTAATAAATAAGATCTGCATCATGTTTGACTTGCACTATTAATAACATCCCCACATTGCACCTTCTTCTTCTGCAATGATTTAATGGCACTTGACTAAACGGTGAACTCCTAATATTCACACAACAGCAGAGGATTATTTCATGTTTTAAAGTTTCCATGCTTCGTCTCCCTCCCTGAGTGGAAAACAACATGTCCCGGTCCACCTCCACTCTCCAGAGGGCCGAGCTATCTGCTCCATCCACTGTCGCCATGGGAACCAGGTCAGCAGCCTGATGTCAGGGCTTGTTTGTTATCGCCTCACCTCTGTGTGTGTGTGTGTGTGTGTGTGTGTGTGTGTGCAGGATGCAGGACAGACACATTTTCCGAGTGAGAGGAAACGTTTCCCTTCCTACATGCGACTCTAAAGGTCACGTAAGATCAGATTCTTGTAACACAGACAGGCACACGTTCACCAGCTATGCGTTAATTCTTCACTTAGAGTTAAATACGCCCGTCTGCTCAGCGCCGTCACATGAAGCGCCACAGCAGAAAGCGGGTCTGTATCTGTAACTGAACTCCGGTGACCGGCGGTAAACCCGGCGGCTCCTCGGCTCTAACTCGAACCAGACCTCTGCAGCACAGAGGGGCTTTTCTTTTTCCCAGAGAAGGTGTGAAGCTGTGGAGCACCTCAAACCAGCCCTGGAGATGCCTCTCGTTTACACCCAGAACGATATTTATCCGCGGCAGGTTGTCGCAGCTCTGCAGTGATTTTCGCACCCGTACGGTTTAACCACAGTCTGATATCTGATCAACGGCAGAGAAAGAGGGACTTTTATAAACCTCTGAGAGGCGCTTTGTTGCTTAAGTTTGTGTTTTTCACCATTTCAATAACAACTTTTTATGATTTTCATGATTAAAGATAAACTTCAGTGTGTTAAGTGCACTAAAGACACGAGAACAGAAACTGATTCTTATCACAAGTCGTCTTTATTTCTGCTCTCCACTTGACGGAAACATAATCAAGTTTCACATCGTTGAGCGTCTGTGTTTTTCCCCTTCACAATAAATCTTTGAACCGATAGCTGACATGCTCCGTGGTCGCTCTCGTGGCAATCACAGCCGAGACAAGCTCGAATCAAACCGGAGCAGGACTCCTCTGCCAAAGGATGCTGGGAAAGTTTCCCATGACAGTTATTTATCTTCGTCTAAGTTCTGAGTGAATGTTCTCAAACAAGCGCCGTCTAAATATTATAAATATAGCAGTGAGACGCTCCCTGCCTTGGAGAGCAGTCCAGCAAAACAAAACTCAAAGCTCTTAACTGGAGCTTTCAGCTGCATCACACAGTCTTCATCAAAACCAGGGCTGAAACGATTCCTCGAGTAACTTGAATGATTCGATTAGCGCGCTGTGTTTGGTGTGGATGGTTGTTGCTGCTGCACAAGCGCTTGTGACTGTCGCTGTTGAAGGCCTGCTCAGCTGTGACATGGATGTTAAGCGCTGACTGCAAAACTATTGGAGGAAAAGGGTCAAGGATGAAAATTTAAATGAAAATACTGTTGAAAAAAAAGACTGATATAACAAAAAAACAAAATAATCATTCATTAATCGTAATCGAGGTAAAATGTTGAGTTGTATCTGCAAATGAACACATAATAAAATATCTGATGTGAAGACTGTGAGCAGATCAGGTGTCAGGGTCTTGCTCAAGAACACTGCAGCAGAGCATGTGGTTGTAGTGGGAATGGAACCAGTAACCTCCCAGTTACAGGTCGGTCTCACACAGAGCAGCTGCACGTCTGCTGGTTCTCAAGTTAAATCAGGTTCAGATGTTCCTGCTGATGACTCCGCTGGGGATTTCTAGGTCAGGTGAGGCCAATTGTGGCGCTCACTCTGTGTGTGTGTGTGTGTATGCACCTGCAGTACCACATACTTTCTAGACACTGTGACCCTTCAACTTCCTCATTACTGGTGCCTCACTGTGTCACAACGTGCGGTGTGAAGTTGCAGAAAATGTTGACCAACATAAACCCCCTCAGCAACAAAAAAAGGACCAACAAGAGTGAGGAAACAGTTTGTTGAACACACAGAAACGTCTCTTTCCAGCACTAGAAAATGAAAAGTAATAAAGTCTTTGGAGCTGGCTAATATCTGGCGAGCAAATTTATTATTTTATAGTTGAACAAAGCAGCCAAAACTTGGATTAAAATGCCTCAAATATGAACATAAATGAGGTGCGTTGAAACACAACTTTAAATACTGGCTGTGTAATAACTCCGGGAACGTTTAAGCTGAATATCGAACTTTAATGTCAGGAAAAACAGGCATCTACGACACACACAGACCAAGCTCGCTCCATAAGAGACTGAGGTCTGTTCTGTAGTTCTGCACCAATAAAAAAAACAGACAGAAATGTTAATGAAATGTAAACAGCTGAGGTTTTATTTGCCAAGCGTTCACCTGCCAATCCTAATGTGTAATTTTACAGCCCAGCTGCTGCCAGAAGGACAGCCTTTAAAAACACTAACAAGAGGCTGAACAATCCACATCTGCGCTGTGAGACTTCACTGAGCTTAACTTCTCTCCGACAGCAGCAAAATGTCTCTAGAAATAACACGAAGAGGAGGAAACAGCAATAAATAACGCAGTACGTTTGGGCCTGTTGTGAACACGGTTACATTCAGATGAAATATAACAAACCACAGTGGCAGACTGGAGGAAGCTTTTATCTGCAAATGTAGAATTTTACAAGTTAGCTGATCTCAAAAAGGCAAAAACGTGCTGCAAAATGTGTTTAAATTAGATTAAAATACAACAAAATGAATATGACTGAGTCAGGACTAGTGATTTCACGGGTTAAATGTTCTCAGAGGGGACGAAAAGGTCTCTAGAACCAACATTTAAAGTCAATGCATGAGAATTCTTGCCTCTAAATGTTGCCTGTTGCTACATATGTGAAATTTAGATAAAATACAACAACCAACTGCTCTCTAAAAAGCACCAAAATACATGCAAAACATAACAATAAGTGTTAAAAAAGGGAATGTGAAAAGAACTGGTAGGACTGAAATAAGGTTTAAATTATAATATCACAGGTTAAATGCTCTCAAAAAGCACTTAAATGCCTCTATAACTAACATTTAAAGGCATTTAAAGTCGCCTGCTGCAAAATGTAAGACGTTTAGGTGAAATATAGCACCCTACTGCTCTGCAACAAAGGACCAAGATGCCTCTAAATGAAAACATGAGGAGGCAGAACACTTCATTTACTGACTTTTATTTAAATGAACTATAATAACAGTCTTTTAAATATACAAAACAGGACTGAGCTAAGGTTAAATGTATGATATCACTGCTTAAGTGCACTCAAAAGGGACCAAAAATGCCTCTAAAAATAACATTAGCAGGCAAAACAACTTGAGTTGCCTTCTGCAAAAAATATAATAACTGTGCTCTAAAAAAATGACCAAAATTAATTAATAAATAACACAAAGAGCCAGAACAACTCGTGCATTGACTGTCAGAGTTGTCTACCGCAAAATATGTGAAATTTAAATGATACAGAACAACCAATGTGGTAAAAATACAAAAATGAATGTGGAAAAACCAGCATAACTGAGTTAAATGTAACCCTATGAAACCTTTTAAATTAGCCTGATCTCATTAAAAAACACGTGAAGAAGGCAAAGAGCAACAAAAGAAGAAATTACGCCAAAAAATGCAAAAAAAATCAGGAAAAAGAGAAAATTAAAAACAAGAAAGTTGGTAAAATAATAACAATAATAATAACAAATTAAATTAAATTTTAAAAAAAATTTAAAAAACAAACAAACAGAAATGACCTGGCAGGCCGTTAAAAATTATAATAATTCTGCAACACAGTTTTGAAATGTAATGATATAA